GATATTTTTTTATATAAAATATTCATCGAAGGCGATTGTGCTTTATTATCTTAAACTGCAATTGCAAGCATTGCAAGCTAAATAAAACTATACGTGCAATTTTGAGCAATGCAGTAGTGCACTGCTGATTGCTCTTTTTAAATTGTGCACACTGTCAAATATATAGATAAAAACAGCAGAAATTTGCAAAGTTGAAACACTATGCCAAGCCTGAAGTCAAACCGATTTTCATAATTACTTTGACAGATAAAAGATCCTTAATTACTCAATAACTCTATTGTTCAAGTTTTCGAAGAAAGTGACTGACAATTTATGTTCAGAGCGTTTTTTTCTGAACAAACTGTGATTAATAAGATTAACTTTAGATAGTAACTTTTTTGAACAGTCGGAGCGATACCGATTTTAAACTTTATGCTACATCATCAATTTTGTTCAGAAAATTCAAAAAAATTGTTCTTAAAGCGACAATAGTTTGTTTCGAGTAAAAACATATTCCGAGAACAAATTGTCACTTTTTTGGAATTTTGAGCAAAAGAAAATCAAAAGTCCAGCAGAAAACGTACTTTTTCCTCAGGTGCTTTTTAAGGGGTTGAATGGTGGATTTATTTTGTTTGGCTTATGATGAGATATGTTTCAATATCAAGTCTGGCACGATATATTATGACTACATCGCTAACAAAAATCAACAATTAAAGGATCAGAATACATTTTTAGACCTCACAAAGGCTTTTGAAGCTGTTTATTACTCAAATTTGCGATAAAAAAAATGGAAATTATGGAATTCAGAGGGCCTTTCTTTAATTTTTTGGAATCTTGCCTTGACACTCGCTATCAGTACACCGAAACAAGATCTCTTAAGACTTAAATTGGTATCTTCGGAGTACCTCAGGTATCTATTCCTGACCCACTTCTATTCATACTACAGGTAAAATATCTTGAAATAGTCACGGGTATCACATGGGTACTTTCGTATGCAGATCACACTGTTCTGAAGTCCACAAACAAAACCGACTCGCACATCAACCGGCTGTTCTTCAAGTGAACGATTGGTCAAAAAAGAACAAATTGACACTAATTGTCAAAAAAAACCAAGAACATGGGTCCTGTCGGACCCAAAAATGTGAAAAAAGACCTGTCAATCATTTTTTAGTTGCCCCTCCCCCAATAAGAATAAGAAGATGTGAAACGTGTTAAATATCTTGGAATTCATCTTGACAGCAAATTGAAATTTCATCAGCATAATGATCAAGAAGAAAAAAAAAGATTTTCAGATCTGAGGAGTGTTTTTTTCAATAGAAAAATTTTCTAACAGAACAGCAATTAACATTTGCGTTAAAAGTTATGTGCAACCAATCATCCAATATGGAGTTTTAGTTTATTCAAAAACCGACAAAACCTAACTGATGGATTTGGAAACAAAAATCGAAAGGCTTGTTAGAGTAATATCTTTTTGTGTGCGGAAGTAGGATTCAATCACTGAAATAATGCATTAAATTGTATATACTGTAAGAGATTTTTTTGCTAACGAAAATTTGAAATTAACTGGGAAAATTGTTTCGAGTTGATCCATTGTGTTATGCCATTTTTGAAAAAAAAGTTAGGCACAATATTTTCAATGAGAAACTCAAATCAATAGTTAGTTTTAAAAGAAAAAGTCAACAGAGGGTCTTTAGACCTTAAGTTCGAAAAATATTTAAAACTCTTTTATTTTTTTTCTGCCGGGGTCAGTTTTTGAAAAGGGCTTCTCTGCTTTAATTGAATAGTTTTAATTATACATTTTTTGCTGAAAACGTAGAGTTTGTTTTTGTTTGTTTCTAGGTTATAGATAAAAAAGACTACCCACGAAAACAAAAAACATTATTTTTTTGAAGAGACGTGTTGAAAAGAGAGAACAAAAAGGCTTACGATTAAGAAATGTTACCGGTAGAACGGTCCGTTAGATCTGAAAATTTAACTAAATAGTTTGTTTTTTTGCTGAATGAGAAACCTGAAAACGGATGTGCTGGCTTAATGGTGTTCTCCCATACAATTCCAATTTGTATTTGTAAACTTTTGTAAGTAACCGTGAAACTAGATTTTGTTTGGAAACAATTTATTATTTCTTTCCCTGTTGTTATTGGGATTAAAAAACGTGATATGATAGGTCAAATGTTACAATTGCAAGCTTTGATCCACACGAATTCGGTTAATTCAAAAGTGTATGGTTGTTTGTACTAAACTCCATAAAATCACTCATTGCACTACGAAATTGATGCTTTTGAGGTGGAGAATATGTGTGCAGAAAATTTTTACATTGTAGAAGAGGTTCTTTTATTTTATTTTTATCAATTGTCAATCAAACACTGCTATCTAGAAAGCAGTGGAAGCGTTCAAGACGATGCACTTATACGAACATTATGTTTTCTATACTTTCAACTTTTTCTAAACTAAATTACTTGTCAGTTTTTTTAAATAATTTTAAAGCAAGTTGACAGGTTACATGATTTTGCTTTTAAGAAAATTATTAGTACATAAACTGGCAATTTTGTGCTAGTATTCTTATGTTTATTCACAATATTTTTATTTAAAATGTTTTGCACCAGCAGCTGCTTCTTGAAGTTTGCTAGGGTTATGAACTATATCATTTTATTCAAATTGTTCTAATCCAACTCCTTATGGCCCGAATCATTCCGCGCACAAAATTAAGCAAGTAAATGACATTGCGTAAGGAAACTATAATTTTATTTAGGAAATTTTTTTCCTTGACCTAAACCCACTCTAAATGATAAGGCGTGAAAACACCATTTTTTAGTTTTGATAGGTAACATTTAGTTCCAATGGTTTTTAAAATTTCATTTTTTCTTTATCAGATAAAATTTTGAAAACATTATAACTTCATAGTTGCCATCTCGTTCATTTTTTTCAATTTTTGAAGTTAAAATTTTTTCTGCGATTGCGTCTAAAAAAAAGAAAATGAAATTTTTTATTTCAATTTTTGTTCCATTTTTTGACAAAAGCGACGAAATTTTTTATGCTGGGTAATTTTTTTTTCAGACCAATTTGGTTTTTCATTTTAAGTTTTTATTAAGGTTTGAATTTTGATTATCTAGACAAAGTAGACGTCCTTGGCTAAAAATCAATGTTATTTTCACTTTTGACCATTCTTTGCACAGAAATTGACTATTTGAGTAAATTGGGTTATCACGTGCGTTATTTAGAAACTTTTTTTAAAAATGTAGCATTTGTGGTAGAGTAAATTTTCCGATTTGATTTAGGGCAAGTTTTTTAATCGAAAAAAATTGTTACTAGATCAGAAACAGTTCGCTTTCTACATGATATTGCTTGTGGACGATTCAAAAACAAAAGTAGAACTTTCAACTTTCTTACCTTTTTCATTTTTTCAAAAACAAACTTTCATTACGAGGCCAACCTTTGCTTTTTTTGTGAATTATAAACAATTCCGCTGCTCTTTGTCCTTTCCTCCACCTCACAAAAACATGAATTTTATGGTGTAACGAGTGATTCTACAAGGTTTGTTATGAGGACGAAATATGTTAATCCTAGCCTAATCAGTCCGAATTTCAATTTTCAAAACAATCGATTAATGTGAAAAAAAAAATTATTGGTAAATTTTTGCAGGTGGGGGAAAAGAAAAAAGAGCCAAGTCCGCAACAAGAACGCTCCCTTGTTTTTTTTGTTTTCTTTTCATTTTCTTTGATCATTCCGACAACATTTTTGCATGTTTAAAGGGTTGTCTCTGGAATCAAGGAAAAAACAGTCACAAAATTGTGCGTCTATCTAATGCACAGTTTGGCCTGGTAATGATTTAACTTACAAGTTTGGCAGACGGAGAGCTTAGTGCTTCGCACTGACACGAGAAATTCTGTTGTTTTGAATGGTATAACACATAACAAATTTTTGTGCTGAGTTAAATTAAATTTTTTTAACCTATTACTTGTTTTTGTTTTTTTTTGTGTGTAATTTTTAATTTGGAAAAACATTTAACAGTTTGACTTTCAAAAAACAAAAATTCTGCAACAAATTTTTCTGGTTGTTATCATACACCAACAATGCTTAACATACAATTCTCTTCACCAAGAATTAATCATACAGTTCCTCACATCAAGTGTGCGGAAAAAAGCCTGTCATGCAATTTCCGTATACGAAAAGTTAACAATGTTCGTTTTTTCCATGAACAATTCTGATCATGAAGAATTGTCAAAAAACTAAGAATGAACCTAAAAATGACAGACAGTGCAGTCAATGTTAATAAAATCGAAAAAAAAAACATGATAGCAATAATTTTTGAACATTTTTTGGGAAAATGCATATCATACAGTTCCCTTATATGGAAATTGTTCGATAGACATTCTTTGATGGCGACAACAAAAAATTTTTCAAGTAATTTCGAAAATGCTCCAAATCATTTTTTTTTTCATATGAAAAATTATTTTTGTACTCAAACAAACATTTTCCAAAAAAAGTGCAGGCAGAATTTAGTTTTTCTGTGTGCATAAATTAGTCCTGGTTACACAAAAAATGGATTTTATGTTCTTTTTGCTGGAAGACTTTTTCACAAACTCTAAAAAAAGCCTATTTCTTTTGTATGGCATGTTTATGTACTTTTTGATTATTGCCTAATTAAATCAAATTTTAAATTTTAAAAACTTTCAACTTTCGCCCAAGTTTAAAAGTTTGTCGCTTTCGTTTTATCTTTTGTATAATACAACACTGAGACTATTCAGGTCGTTTCCTATGCATTGTGAATGCAAGAGGTCCAAACCTTTTGACTCTACCCTTAAGTATACCGATGTCATATAACGATTTTCAAACATCATCTTGTTGAAAAAATTTATATTTAGCATTTAGCGTTGAGCATTTCAAAAGTTTACTTGAAAAACATGAACTGCGCCACGTTTAGAAGCTACAAGTAGTTCAAAAAGTCAAAAGTAGTTCAAGAACCATGAAAAAAATAATTAAGTTTCTTTCACAATAGCGTTCATTGCCCTTAGAAAACCACATGATATATGGAACTTGAATTAAACCTGTACAATGAAATTGGAAAATTGGAATGATTATTTCTAATATACTCGATATAAAATTACAAATAGGTCTCCTTGCTGGACGCGTCTTCCTGTAAGCTAATGAATCTGCTCCCCAGTTTCCCACCTCTTCCCGAAGACATCCCCTTGTTACCCCGCCCTTCCTTCCGTAAGGAGCTTTGCCGAGTTCTTTCTGGGACCGTCAACTGGACTTTCAACCTATGCGTTGCCGAACCAGGTTGAATAATATCGTGATTCTTCAAAATCGAACCTGATTCGTCCGTTACATCGACAAAGCTATTCGAAGATTTAGATTGCTTTGCTCTGATTGGTTCATTATTTTCCAATTGGTCTGAGAATGAGATGCGGGTTTTGATTGGCTGAGGCGGCGATATTGGACTTGGCGTGCGATCGCTGGCTGAGATAATTTCCAAATTTGGCAGGTGCGGTCGGTCGGTTATTCTGCTGGTCGAACCACTGATTTTATCCGACCGTCCCATCAGCATAAAATCCAGTCTTTTCTGTTTTACCTGAGGCAAATTGGATATTGATAGAGAATGCGTGCTTGTGTTTCTCAACGTAGGCATTGTCAAGTTCCCCCCACTGATTAGTGAGTCATTCAAGGGTCCCCCGTCCGTTTTTTCGGGACTCTTGAAGTTGGAACTGCATATGTATGTATCTTCGTTTCCTTCTGTGTTGTTTGATACTGCTCTGTGTCTAAAGAAACTAAAAGGCTCATCATCGATATCCGAAAGTTGGAATGTTCTAGAACGTCTCTGATTTCTCGGGCTGATGACGTCATCAAACACGAATAGAGGCTGGATATTGTCGTCGACATCAGTCGACTGCTGAAGTTCCGGGAGATCAGAAGTTCCGAAAATGCTGACATTGGAGACTCTTCCCGCTGGTTCCGTCCCCTCCCCCTCGGAATCGCTGCTGTAACTGACGGGATCCCCTCCGTGGTGTTGCACGTTGAAGTTGACAGGTCTGGGAGGCACTATCTTCTCGAAGTCTGCCAGTTTGAGCTTGGAAGGGTTCTTGTACAGCACTTCGTGTTTCTCGCAGCCCATGCCCACTTGAAAAACAAAAATTATTTTTATTTAAACTTTTCTTCAATTTGCTCTTTTATAAGCCGCGGTCGAAAGCAAAATTATAAGCCGTTAAGCTTCATACAGTCATTAAGCTGCAACGTCAAACAGTCATTTGACAAAAAAAGGCTGGCGGCTCATCAATTGATTGCATATTGGAGATTCTCGGTAACAAAAAATAAGGCAAAAAAAAGCTTTCATAGTGTGCCATATCCGGTTTAAAAAGTTTACGCACTTTAAAAAAGTCTCCAAATTTTGTTTATTTTTCATTTTCAGGTCTGTTTTTTTTTAATTTTCACTCTGTTTTTTTTACTTACTGCTGAGAGCGTGATGTTTAGGTGTGGCAGGCGTGACCAGAAGAGACACGTGATTGCTGTTGTGTATTTGGGTTAAGGCACCCGAGTGCTGATTTGAGCCCAGTTGTCCCCCTCTCTCCCCTCGCCCTCTATGCTGGGTGGGTCCATTCTTCTGCTGCTGCTGTGGGTCAAGTGTGTTTAGAAAGGCAGAGTGATTGCTGATGATTTTATTGTTGCTAGAGGTCAATGAACTCAACTGACCTCGGCGTCTGATAGAGGTTGGTGAAGTGTCCCCTGCAATAAAACATAAGAATCAAAAATTATTCTTTTTTCACGCATTGGTTGTCTAGTTTACGAATTTCCTCTCAAATATAAGTACTAATTATAAATCGGGCTGTAAATTAAACGTTGATTTTTCTACAGCATTCAATCGTTAAATTTTATTTATGTTAATCGCCAAAAACACGAAAGAATGATACAGATGCAAAATAAATGAAATCAAAAAAATTTAGTCCAATGACATGTACTAGAGCTGAAAAAGTTCTTTCATCTGTCGCTAATTTTCGCTTTTTTATCCCCTGAACTTCTGAGCTGAAATTTTTTTTCAAGTCCCGCTGTGTCAAAAATGTGACACCCTGATTGATGTTTACAATAAAAAAGAGACAACAATGATCCCCTAATTTCGTTAATCAAATTTAAGACATCTTATAATGCCAAACAGCTAGCATGTGAGTCATATGCTTTATTAGGCTATTCTAATTTTTAAAACCAGAGTATATTTTGCAGAAAAAAAAACATTTTTGTAATTATTGATTATTTCTTTTGTCCCAGAACTGAGCCCCAGGGTCACCTAGCGCTTAAAAGCACATTTCATTTTTAGAATTGAAAAGACCATTTTATATTTGAAATCGATGATACATTTCGATATAATCTAAAACTACATCAAGCTAAATGCAGTTGTTCTTTTTCAGAATTATCAGTAGCCTCAAAAAATATGGGTTGAAAGAAATACTATGTTTCTGTTATCTAAGAATACAGAAATGAAAAAAGCGGAGGGATTGAGATCAAATAATCTACTATACTCCTCTAGTCTACAGGCAACTTGGGTTCTTTCTTGAGCCCTTTTTGACTTGTTAACGGGGAAAAAGAGCAACTATTGACAAAGGGCTTATCTTTCGGCAGAACAGACAAAAGAGCATCCATCAAATCATTAGACACATATGATTAGGCAAACGGGGGAGAAGAAGGGGGATGGCAGATAAGGTTGTTGCAGTAAAATGAAAAGTGATTAATGAAAGAATGCGTTTCTTAATCTTCAATTTTTTTCTCTTTTTTTTCTTGCTTGGTTAGAGGCATGATCAAACAGCCAGCATAAACTCGTCTATATTAAAAAAAAATCGATTTCGTTATGGGAATAATCTCAATAAAACATTCAATTTTGAATGTAGCTCGTCCTTGACTTTGCTTTAAAAAAATCAAGGAAGAAAACCCGAATCAATCAAAGCTCGAGTGTTCCGAATGGAGGTTCAAGGTCTTTTTGCGAAAAAAAATTGACGAAAATTTTGAAAAACAAAAATAAAAAAACAAAACATGGATCCCTTTAAAGACAACGTCAAACACTGAGTGAAATAATTTGAGAGGCGATTGGTCTGAAAAGATCTTCTCAAGTTAGACCAACTTTCCATTTGATTTCTAGGTTGCGCAAAATTTTCATTTCAACATTTCAACTAATATATGAAAATCTTGACTTTGATTTAGGAAAGAATTTATGAAGCATCCTGTAGTTGAAAAAAAATTATTTCAAAAATAACAGAAAAAAAATATATACTTTTTTCAATGCGAAAACTCCCTACTGTATGCTTTTGTTTGATGCCAGTTTTTTTTCAGTGTTTCCATTAATTCCTGCAAATTTTTAGCTATAAATTTGGCTAAATTTTGTAAAAGATCTTGTAACGTATCTTGTGTACCTTCGGTGTTTTTTCCTATTGATGATTGAAGATCCTAATAAGACTAGAATTTGAGATGTCAAGACTCAAAATTAATGAAAGAATGCGTTTCTCAATGCTTAATTGTTCTCTTTTTTTTTGTTTCTAAGCCAAACCCAAGTTCAAGAAGGCAGCATGACCTTGTTTATAATTTAAAAAAACTGCGTTATTGGAAAATTCTCATTAAAACATTCAATTATGAATGCAATTCGTCCTTGACTTTGCTTTAAAAAAAACTAATGAAACAAACATTATCAGTCAAGGCTCGAATGTTCCAAATGCTACTTGGTTTGTTCAAGGTCTCTTTGCATGAAAACCATTAATGAAAATTTTGAAAAACAAAAATAAAAATGAAAACATGGATCCCTCTAAAGGTCGAACGCTGTGTGAAATAATTTGAGACGCGATTATTTCTTAATTAATGGGACCGACCACAGCCAGCAATTTTCCCGGGCTGTCTTCGCTAGACAAAAAATATTGTAAAATTCCATGCAGCAAGTAATGAGAAACCAGCTCCTTATTCAACGTTAATATAAAAAAAATTGCGTGATTCTTGGAAAAAAATCTTTGTAAAAATTAAACGCCATTTTTGTTTTTTCTTTGTTTTTACTATGTCCGATACTTTTTAGCATGAGAATTGAGCAATGAATTTTAAACCCAATTGAGTCTAACAATCAGTTAAAATGATTTAAGAAAAAACAAAAAAGCTTAAATTATTTTCATGGAACTGGAAGGAAATCAGGAAAAATAATTCTCTGAAAAATTGCTTCTGTAACAAAAACTACTGAAAAAATTGTGTTTTCACTGTTTAGTTTGCCCAACAGTCTGAAGAGATCTTCTTAAGTTAGACGAAGTTTCCATTTGATTGCTAGTTTGAGTGAAATGTTCAATTCTACATTTCAGCTTATTTATAAAAAATTTGACTTTGATTTGAGAAAGAGTTTATGAAGCACCCTGTAGTTGAGATATTTCTATTTCAAAAAACACAGAAAAAATTTATACTTTTTTCACTGCTTAAACTCCCTACTGTATGCTTTTGTTTGATACCAGTTTTTTGTTCCAGTGTTTCTATTGATTCCTGAAAAGTTTTAGCTAATAATTTGGCTAGAATTTGTAAAAGATCATGTAACGTATCTTGTGTAGCATCGGTGTTTTTTCCTATTGAAGATTGAAGATCGAAATAAGAACTTGAACTTGAGCCGCAAAGACTTGAAATACTGTAAAATGAGTCAACCCCTTGCCGACCCAAAGGTCCCCCTTTGGTTATTTTTAAGAAATCCATCTTTGGCCGACCGACACTTAAGTTTTTCTAAAGGCGCCTTGGGCGCCAATAAATACTAAATTTGAGGGGGAGCTCGCGCCAAAAAAAACGCGATTTTTTTGTCAAAACCTGCCAAAACAGCTTTTTTGACCTGTTTTTTCAAAAATTGGCATGTGGCGCAGAAAATTTGGCCAAAACAGCGTTTTTTTAGTGCTTCAGGAGAGCTCAGAAAATCAATTTGTCGACCTAAAAAAAAAGCTCGTCAAAATTTTCGAGCCCCCTCGAAAAAATCCTAGATCCGCCCTTGATTATACTAATGTAGTCTAGTTAAACTTTTACTGTTGATTTTAATTTAATTTTAAGGAGCATCCCTTTGACACCACGCATGATATTTTTCAACATTATGAAATTTTTCAAAATTCAAGTTGGTTGTACCCGGTATTAGATGTGCATATAAGCTTTTTTGTCCTCAAAATTGCCGGTTTCTGAAGGTATCGTTATAGCACTCACTTCGAAACCCTCAAAAGCATGCTTTTTATTCCACAAATACCCAAAGTAGGCAAAAATGTAAGAGAAGAAAGAGTTCTTTTTATGACTTATTTTGCAGCTCGCCCACCAATTTTCCAACCAGCTTAATGGTATTAGCAGCTCTGCAGTTGTATAAAACTGGTAATATTTCTATGGCTTATTAGTTAAAAATGCAATTGTTAACCTGTTTTGTCTTATAACTTAACCCACTATCTACTTGTAGCGTGTCGATTTGATTGAAAGTTGCAAGGTGGACGTTCACTGATTTCCCTTAGCCTATTTTATCCTATAAAAAATCATACAGGTTTTAAAATCTCAAATGTAAAATGGCCGAAGAAAACTTTCTTGCTTGGCAATTTTTTCAATTCAAAGCTTTTATGATCACAATAAGAATTCGGTTATTATATCTACAAGAAAAAGTTTCGGCCTTTTCAACATGTCGTTTTCTCGACAGTGTTTTCACCTTTAAAAGTGTGATATTTGCAGTAATGGTAGGAGCCCGCGCACGTAACAAAGGAAATAATGGAATCGCCCATTCAGTCATTATAGGCCTCGTGAGACTTGGGAAACAATTTTGCTCGGTGAAAAAAGGACATCAAATACAACCCGCGGTATGCAAATGTGGCCAAATAGTAAAAAATGCATTTAAGCCACATAATTCTGTTATAGGTCAAGTGACAAACTATATGAACAAAATATTGTTCACACATCAACTCATTACGTCACAATTCATAAACAACCGATATGGAATAATGGAAAAAACAGGGAGACAAAGTGGTTATATGATCATGAGGATACCTTTGCGAAATTTCCCTTCAATTTTCTCTCCCTTCAGTGCAGAGGCGGAGGGTATCGATTGCTGTTTAAAAGTTGAACTGTGAACAGGTTAAAACTATACTGCTAAAGGGGGCAAAGAGAAGGCGGGGGAAAGGACGATCGTGAAATGCACAAAACAGGCCACAAAAATGACCTGATATTTTTTCACATTTCGCTGTTTATTTTGAATTATAGAGAATAATGCAATTAAGTTGAGAGAAGAATAAAAAGTTCAATTCAGCGTGCTATGTATCATAGGATATTGGCCCTTTTTCCTTTTCCTCGCACCTGCATTTTAGCTTTAGAGCTTTTATTCGCATCAAGCGGTTGTTTTGTAAAATGACAGGCTGACTCTTTTAGCTCATGTCAAACAAATTTGGATCTTCATTTTGAACAATCCACAACTACTCGTTACACCATAAATTTGATGCTCATTTTAGGTGGTGATGGAAAAAGGGTTGAAGGTCTCAAAAACCAACCAAAAAAAATCTAGGAAGCTTCAGATAAAAAATAATCAAACAGTCTTTGAATTCGACAAACAGTCACGGATAAAAAAATTTCCACAAAAAATTGAAATAGAACAACAGAATTCAAACTTACATAACTTCAGAAACTGTTCAAAAGAAAAGGTATTGTGCGACAAACACTAATAAAAAAATACTTTAGAACAAATATAAATTACATTAGCTTTTCAGAAGAGGCATTGAAAGTAAAATTTGAAACTTTTTGAAGTAGATCTACGGTCAAATGGGAGAGTTTTTAATTTTTTTTTTCAATTTAATCTTATATAAAAATATTTTGAAAATTATTTGGTGGATGCAAGGTTCAAATATTTAAATTCTAGTGTTTCAATCGTAGACAAAAAAAAAACCCAAAACTTTCGCAAAGTATTTCGTTAGGCGAGTTTCAAAACACTTGTGGGCTCTAATGTTTTTGAAAATGCTTCTCAGAACTTCTGCATCCATATTTTTTTTAGCTTCTCGATCCCGCCAATCATAAATCTCCCAAAACACAAAATTTACGTTTTCCTTACTCTTAATTTTTTCTATTCAATCGTAGTAGTGTTTGAAAGAACCGTTTTTTTATTCAATATCACTGTACTTTATCTATCTTGACAGATAGAACTAAAACTGTTTATGCTTTTTCCTTACAATAACTGTTTTTAAAGCTCCTGGCATATCCAGTTAAACTAGTGGACAGGTTAAACTAGTGGACCCAAATTCTGGTTACATCTATCTGAAATACTTAATTTCGAATACAATTTTGAAAGATACGCTATTAGAGTTTATGTACAATTTTTACATCACCCGAAAAGTTTATGCAAATGATCTCCACTACTATCTCTGAAAATATTGATTTTTGGTTTGAAGCACTTTTTTCCGGTTCTAAAAGAGCCATTTTTGACATTTGCAATAAAGTTTTTCAACAATGTCAACTCAGATGAACCAAAAAATGTGCGGAAACTTTTCACGCGAATAATGCAGTTTTCTCGTTTAAAATGTTTCAAATCGCTTGATCAAATTTTTCGTTCACACTTATTCAAAAACAGTCCTAAAGAATATCCACTACAAAGAATATCTCCCTTTCAATATCTCCCTTTCATCCCTTTCAAAGTGAAAAATGGCGTTTTCAGGTCTAAATAAACAGATAGGTGTCTAAAAAACAGTGTTTTTCAAAAAAGAGTGTTTTTTTAAATCAATTTTGCAGTCGGTCGATGTAAAAGTTGTGTTAAATTTTTAAGTAAAAATTGTCCAAAATATTCCTTAAACTCAAGTAATTTATGAGTAAGAACAAGAATTTGAGCTTAACTTTCTGCACTAGTGTGGTAAAACGAGTTGAGGAAGGGTAGTCGGTGGCTGTGCAAGTAGCATAGAATGTTCCGACCAAGTTCATTAAAAAATGTTTTTTTTATAATTTTCTTCTGATTGGTGTCGTTATAAATGGGTGGTGTGATTTGAAAACTACACAATCGAGTAGAAAATTAATAAAATAAGCATTATCAGCATTATCGACAACACTTGTTTTCAAAAAATGAATCATAAAAAAAATTTAAAAAAAAGTTTAATTTTTTGTATTCAATATCTTTTTTTAAACAGCGTTTCTGCCAAACAAGCGCTAAATAAAACATCCAAATTAGTTTTATTAATAGTGAAATCAAAGTAAGTTTTTATCGCAAAGGTCTAGAAAACAGCAAACTTCCCTTCCATTTGAAGAGCGTTACTCGATCTCGTTACTCGCTCCAAATTAGACTAAACCTCAGATATTTAAACGAGTTTTACTCGACACTGAGACAATTTTTTGAAAAGAAACTAATCATCACGATTGCAAGTGCTTTAATATGATATACCACCGAGTGGAGTGTCTTGCCTGCTCATTCTTTTTCAGTTGTGCGGTCGTGAAATTTCATGTGTTCACAAGAACGTGAAATAACTTTAGCCATAAGTTCAAAAAATTTAAAAGTTTCATACATTTAAAACTCGATAACTAAATTATCGGTTGGTTCTTTCAATTTGTCCTATTTTGTGAAGTCAAAAATTAATTTCTACACACAAGTATTTCACTATTGTTTTTCTTGCGAGGAATTTAAACAATGCAAGAACTTTTTAAGGCATGTGCAAGATCATTGCAAAATTCTTGCGTGACATAAATTACTCAAAAATGTTTTATATTTTAATTGCTGAAACAACAGTAGTCTAGAATAAATTTTCAATTTTGTTTTTACTTTGGTTATGTTGAGATTTCAAGTTTTGCAAATGTTGCGGTTTGCTTAAATTGAACTTGCAAAATTTGGCTTTTTTGTCATAAATTTTCAAGTTAAAATTAATTAGCGTTAAAAAACTTCTGGTTATTTGGAAAAAAAATTCAAAAACATGGAAAAAAATTTATAACTCTTATCTACCTATTTTGAAATTTTTCAAAAGGAAGTATAAACTTCAGAAAAGTTTGTTTCGTTTCTATGCAACAGTGCAGTTTCTTTATGTTCCCGATGCAGTTTTCTTAATCTAGCAAACTCCGTAGCAAAAAAAAATCTAACAAGCTCTGAAAACTGTAAGTTTTTCAGAACGATGGTTTCTATACATTCGCGCACTTTCATCATGCTCCCTTAATACGAGGCCAAACTGTATTTTGTGTGAATTGTAAGCGGATTCCGCGATATGGACTTTTTCTTCCGTTTTCTTTAATCGTTCCGACAAAATTTTAAAATGTTTAAATTTGTAAATTTATCTCTGGAATCCAGGAACATACAGATGCAGGACATACAGGCAATAAACATCTAAATATCTCCTAGCTACTACCAGAAACTAAAAAATGCACTGAACATACCAAAAACTGTTTAAAAAAATTGCAAAAAAGTTTGTAGTAGGTTGCACAGTTTTGCTTTTTTCTTGCAAATGGAATGCGAAGATTGCAAGAAACGTGCAAAATGGTAGCAAACTATGCAAGAATCTTGCAATAAAAAACGCACGAACTATCTAAGAATACTGGGGTTCCAATGAAGTGCTTTCTGGGCGGAACTTGGTCCTGGATATTTCGATTAGTTTACTTTTTTTGATGATCAGTTTGAGAAATAAAAAAAAATCTAGCTGACGAAAAAAAAATAATTTAATTGAGAAAAAAGTTAAAATGAATGTAACGATTTTAGAAAAATAACCATATGATAACCTACAAATTGTTTGCTGTGAATCGGAAGAGTGGCATCCAGTGGACATCCTCGCAAATCCTCTTCGGAAGTTCCGACTGCCAATGAAGAAAAGCAGAGGGTAAGTTGCACTCTGGAAGTATATGAAGCAGTAGATCAACAACTGCGACACATTCTCGCTCCAAGGCCACGTGATCACCACGTGAACACTCTCCGAAACCGCGTGCACAAAATAAGGCATCCAAGAAAGAGTAAACAGAACAACAATCGCCTGGAACGAACGCAACGATTTCACGTACGACTGCAATCCAGCATTACTCTTTATTACTGTTTTTATTCTCGGGTTAGTTAATAAACAACAGTAAACCCGACTTAAGTTAACGCCAATCATCAGTAAAGGTAAGATATAAGAGCCGATAGTTAAATAGTAGGTGTGGAAAATTGGGATAATTTGATGTTGTCGGTGCCAGTGGAGACAACTCGTCGATCGGCTAATCGCTTCCCATTCGGCTACGGGCCCCAACCCGCCCACACAGCCGAAGATCCACGCACATGTAAGAGATACAAATACTTGCATTGTTGGTCGCCAAGAGTGTGATTTAGCCGAATTGCTACTTGATGTGCAGTTAACCGAAACGTGATTTGAGTTGTTTGATTGGTGGTTGTTCAACGAGACGTGATTTGTTGTGTGGTTTTTAGCGTCGTGTTTGTTTTTGATGTTTGTGACTGTATGAGTGTGGCTGTGGTTGCTGACGGTGTCGGCTAAGAAAGCGTTCGGCTGTTTGCCTATCTGTCCCATTGAGAAGACCACATGTAAACTGAAGTACATCAGGGTGTGGGATACGGCACCTACAAACACAAAAAGCTAGCAGAAGCGTAACTTGGATTTTATCAAAAAGGGCGGATTTTGTCGTGCTTTTTTAAAGACAAATGAAGTTTTTGGTCACTTTTTGGAACTTTTACAGCAAAAAATCGCTCTCACTTAATTTCAGTGTATATTGGCAAAAAAGCGACTTTTGAAAGTTTTTAAATAAAAGATTTTGAAAAAAAAAACCAAAGCTGTAGGGAGTACATTTACTGAAGTAAGCCCGTCCCGGAATCTATTTTCTGCCTAAAGACCTCTCGGTTCTCTTTAACTATATCCCTTCTTCTCGGCTACCTACTAACGAGTACCCCCTATAAAGAAATAAATGAACGGTTACGCATATCAGAATTTTAAACCTAGTAACGAATCCCCACTTTTGCAAAAGGAGGGATATAGTTAAAGGGATCCAATCTCTCGGTCAAAGAAAAAAATCTTGATAAATTCTACGAATCTACCTTGGAGGGCTAGCACCATGAACAGATTCAGTTTACACAGCAGAGCATCAAACAAGTCACTCTTGTACAGCACACTGAGGAGAGTGAGGGGCATACTGGTCATAGTCATGGCCAAGTGGGCCATAGACAGGGACATGAAGTAGTAGTTGGAGTGGCTCTGTCTCAGGTGTCGGTTGGCGAGGCAGGTGAGGAGGAGGAGACTGTTTCCCAGGAGAGAGAGGAGCATAGCAGAGGCCAAATAGACTGCACTCACTTTCACCACCAACGTCAACTCAACCTGAAAAATGTACAAAAAAACACATAATTTAGACAAGTATATTAGCTGCAAAAAATTTAGTGAAACAATCAAAAATGCATTCATAATCATAGAAGAATCTAGGACTTTCTCGAGGAGTCCGGAAAGTAGTGTTTTGGATTTTCAAAAATGTTCGACTTTTTTGACAACTTTGTTTCAGGTCGACCAAATTGATTTTTCAAGCTCTTTTAAAACGCAGTAATACTAATGATCCTATAGAGTTAATAGACAAAATTTCTGCACCGCTCACCCTTTTAATTAGATCAAAGTGGGGTGCCGAAAACGGATGATTTAAATTAATACCAAAGCGGGACCTTTTGGGTGGTGAGGGGTTCGATTCCGTGGAGGGGGAGGGGATCGAATCAGAAACAGCTATTCTTTATAATCATACAACGAAAGCTCGTTGCTGTGCAAGTCGCACGGAAAGTTCTGAACACAATAAATCAAAACTTGAAACGATTTTTTTTTAAAATTTGTGTTGTTTGTGATCGTGATGAGTTTCGATAGTTCCCACCACGAACTAAAGCTAAAAAGAAAGGTCGAATTTTTTTTTTTTAATTTCACCCCGCTTCTCCCCCCAAGAAGAGAACATCCTAGATCTAAACCCGAATGACAATTATAATTTAAAAAGGATGTTATTAATATAAGCATCAGCCATGCTAAAAGTTACACAAATGTCGATTGAAGGAACCACCATTTTTCGATATCTGGCGAATTTTTGAATGATTTGGTTAGTTATTCTTTATGCGATCGATTTGGTAATTTGGTTCCACGAGCTTGATAAATTTCCCTTCCCATGTTTGCCATTAACCTTTGGAAGAACAAAAGTTTTTCTATATCACTCGGAAATCTGTTCAAATTTTAAGTCAAACCTCATTCAGACATAACATTAAAAAAGAATTCAACGTTGCGGCTGGGAGTGCAGCTGAGAAACTCAATCATTATTCAGACAAAAAAATCCGTTTTCAACTCTGCTTGTCAATTTCAATCTAACTGCTTCTAAGTCAGTTAACTCGACAGACAAGGTCATTCTACAGTTTGAGTAGAGCTCAAAAACCCAAAATGGATGACAGAAATAAAAGCTGACAATATTATTGAAGAAACGACCCATCTCCAAATAAATTTAGTTAAAATAATTGAGTTGCTTAAAGAATCATCAGCTATTTAATTAAGCAGTAGAATGCTTTAATTGATTATTTTTTTTAACAGAACTCAGGGAAAGGTCTATGGCTTTCTCGATGAAGGGGGGGCTGATATTCAAACAAATTTTAAAATATTTGAGGACTTTTTTAAAGTCGACCAAATTAACCAGAATGATTTTTGAGCTCTCCTAAAGCATTAAAAGACCCTGTTTTGGCGCCCAAATTTCTGCTCCGCAGGCAAAAATTTGAAAAAACAGGCCATAAAGACGTTTTTAGGTTTATCTTGGAAAATTTTGACCAAAAAATCGCGCGCGCTCACCTCTTAAAATTAGTTTATATTGGCGCCGGAGGCGCTTTTAGAAAAATTTTAGGGTCCGTCAGCCAAAATGGGCATCTCAAAATAGTTCAAAGAGGGAACCCTTTGAGTCGCCAGGGGGTCGAATAACGTGTTTCCCTGTTTTGGCCAAACTTTTTGCGCTGCCTGCCGGCAAATGAAAAAAAAACAGGCCAAAAATACGTTTTAGGCACTTTTTCGACAACTTTGAGCAAAAAATTGCGTTTTTTTGGCGCGCGCTCCCCCTTCAAAATTAGTATATAAATTGGCACCAAATGCTCGTTTTGAAAAAATTAGAGTCAGGCAGCCAAACATAGAGGACTTAAAATAGTACCCCCCCCCCCCCCGCCCGCGCTACTGACAAAGTTTGCTTTTTGGACTTAATTGTTCTTAATCCTTAGTTTTCAACTAGCCTAAGTTTTTTTTGTATTTGATGTTTCGAAGAGCGTAGTGATATTGCTCATTTCTTGCCGTAAAAATTGTCAACTGCAATTCTTAATTCAAGATAATTACAGGGAATTTCGACGAATATCATTCACTTTTCTGGCGAGAAATAACACTGACACAAAACGCAAAATGAAAATGGAAAAACAGACACAAAACATTATGTGTGTGCTAAAGGGGTTAGAACAGCCCAGCTAAGAAGAAAAAAATGTGTAACATCCTTTTGTTTGTATCAATTCCCCCTTATAAAAGTAACCGATCTTGTTAACTATTTCCGCCCCTATAAAGAAAGAATTGAACAGTTAAGCATTACGAATTTTGTACCTTGTTAACTATTCCCCTATTCCCAAAAGGGGGAGGTTTAAAAAGTTAACAAGATCCAAAAAAACTAGCGTGGGGGATTGGCTGTGTCTTTCTTCATAAAAAAACTTACAAAAACTAATGGTACATTTTTGAAGAAGATTTTCATTCACAACTGGTTGATTACCATTACGAGGCAAAAGTGTGCACTGGATAAGAGCACAATTTTGTGTCTGTTTGTTCCTGGATTCCAGAGACAAGTCTTAAAATATGTTCCAAAATGTGAGTGGATTCCACAAACAAAATTTCAGTGGATTCCGCATACATATACCTGTAACGTATATTTTGTCGGCACATTTGTTTTGTTGCGGATTCTGCAACGAGCAAATATAGCTAGTTGTTCTGGATTCCGCAACTGTAAGTGGATTCGGCAAAACGTAAGCGGAACCCGCAAATGTAAGTGGATTCCGCAAACTGTAAGTGAATTCCGAATTTTGTTCAATTTTGAACTTGCATATGAACAATTAAAAGCTGAGCTGTAATTCTTATCTCTAGCAATGCGATCAGGGGAATCCACGAACAAGTCTTAAAACATTGGTTACCTAAATCGCTGGATGTCATCTTTTAGTATTTTGGAAACACAACACCGAACCATTTCAATATTTGGAGTCATTGAGTTGAGAGTGTATGGAACACACAGCATATCGACAAATTAGGTCCGTATTTGGGATTGCCTCAATCCCAAATACTAATTTTGGAAGCATAAGGCCCAATATATGCAGTAATTGTAGTCATTGGGTTGAGAGTGTATGGAAACACAACACACAGTATATCACTAAATTAGGTCAGTATTTGGGACTCCATCGATCCCAAATACTGGTCAGTATTTGGGATTGATGTAATCCCAAAATCTGGAATAATGTGGAATAAATATGGAATATATCCATTATTTGGAGTCATTAGGTTGAGAGTGATTAGAAACCCAACGCATAGCAAATCGTCAAATTAGTTCAGTGTTTGGGATTTTATCGATCCCAAATACTGGTCAGTAATTGGGATTCCATTATTCCCAAACACTGGTCTATTCTAGTAAATTTCTATTCTAGTAACTTTCTATTCTAGTGATATCAAATCATGTATTTAAAAGATATAATTTTAAAGGCTACTACACAAACATATATATATATATATATATATATATATATATATATATATATATATATATAAGTACGGGGAATCCACAAACAAAATGCGGATTCCACTTACAATTTGCGGATTCTATTTACAATTGCGGATTTCGCAACAGCTCAATATAACGATACAAATGTTTTATCATTTGTTTGTGGATTCCACAAACTGTTCTGGAATCCGCAAATACAGTTGCGGATTCCGCAATTTCGCCTATTTTTCGAGCGATTTGCGGATTCCACTTACAATTTGCGGATTCTATTTACAATTGCGAATTCCGCAACAGCTCAAATTAACGATACAAATGTTTTATCATTTGTTTGTGGATTTCACAAACTGTTCTGGAATCCGCAAATACAGTTGCGGATTCCGCAACTTCGCCTATTTTTCGAGCGATTTTGAGCGGTACAATGATTTAGGTATTTGTATGTGGAATCCAAAACAGCTTAGAAGATCAAAGAAAAGTAGCAATGTTGCGGATTCTGCGACAAAACTTATTTTGACCTGTTGCGGATTAAGCTTACAATGCAGAGAATGCACAGTTTGGCCTCGTAAAGACACGCTAATATTGAACTTTAAAACAGCTTCCTGTTATTCTGTTACATTTAAGACCTTTTTTTGGAAAGTTAAAGAGACATTTTTTGTAGCGGTATGCAAAGAACTCAAAACTCAAACCCAAAACTTTCAAATAAGATCAATTTAAATCGATTTAAAATGGATTTAAGTGAGTTTCGGGTGGATTTTAGTGAGCCTGAAAATCCATCCAAATCGATTTAAATCGATTTTTTAGACACTTGATTTGATTTAAATTTTTCAAAAAGATCAAATTAAATCATCATTTTAAAATCCATTTAAGTTCGTAAAATCTACATTATTAATCAATTTGGATCGATTTAAAATCGATTTAAAATCGATTTAAAACCGATTTAAATCAATCCGAACCATTTTTGTCAGTGCGGTCAGTCATTCTATTTTTTCTCAATTGGACTATTTACTTATCAATTGGACTATTTAACTTCAGATCAAAATACTTCTTGTACGAGGTGTTTGGTATTTTTGTAGATTTTTGAAAATTTTAGACTGATATGAAGAAAATTCGTCAATACAAAAAAAAAATTAATCAGTGTTCATCGCAACTAGCTCCATATATTCCAAAATCAATCTAGTAACCAAAGTTGCTGTGCATCGCTAAATCAAGGCATTTTGAATTAGTTTTCCATTTATCATGCTAAATTGCTTAGCGATGATTTATCGCCTTTCAAAAAGCTAGCGCACGCATAAAGGAAACAAGACTGCTCGTATCAGGGCGAAGCCCTGAATGTCCCGACTGCCTTTGAAGGCTATGGAGCAGAAATAACAAAAAAAAGTTAAAAATAAAAAATTTAAAAATTAAAAAAAAAATTGTGTTAACCAATTTGGAACAATTTAGCGTGAAATAGCGTGAGATATATCGCACGTTAATTGCCCCCCCCCCAAATGGGCCAAAAAGGCAACTTTTAAACCCCAATAAATTCCGAAAGATGATCACAGATGAAATATCTTTTCAAACTTAAGCTCGGGACAACAGTACCTTT